AAATGTTGTACTACTCTACATGATCAGAGCATACAGCTATTACTACAACGCTCTCTTCCTCTTAGATTCACTTAGTCTTAGTTCTACAGTGAACTGTTTCTCATGTTCACCAGCAATCCTTATGTCAGTGTCTCTAGTCACTTTGGTCAACTGAAGCTCATGCTCTAGCGCAGTACTGACCAATAAACCTTCCTATGCTGATGTGTTTTCCTGTGTATCTGTTGTCCAATATGGTACCCACTAGCAACATGTGCTAAATGTGGCCAGTTCAAGTAAAAAACTAGTGTAAATTTGATTTGATATTAATTTAAATGTAAGTAGTCCCATGGGACTGGTGACTAGGTGTCATACTGGATCACATAGCTCTAGCTCTAGCAGATTCCTCATGGGAGGAAGCCTTAAGTTTCTACATAACAATCTGTGCCTTTTACAGCTGAAAGTTGCTTTTGCTGCATATAAAGTCTTTGGCTTACACTTTTGTTCTTTGAGTATCTCTAATATGTTACTCTATTTTCTACTTGTATAAAGCATTGCTTTTGAAAGTCTGATAATCTAATTTCCTTTCCTTTATAAATCACATGTTCTTTTTTTCTGGATCCCAAAGGAATTTTTCTTGTAGGTTCAGAATTTTACTAGAATATGTCTTGGTGTTGCTTTTTCTGGGCTGATATTCTCAGGTACATGATGTGCTCTTTCAAAAGTAGTTTCAAGGGGCGCCTGGGTGGCTCAGTTGGTTAAGCGACTGCCTTCGGCTCAGGTCATGATCCCAGGGTCCTGGGATCGAGTCCCACATCGGGCTCCCGGCTCAGTGGGGAGCCTGCTTCTCCCTCTGACCCTCTCCTCTCTCATGCTGTTTCTCTCTCACTTGCTCTCTAATAAATAAATAAATAAAATCTTAAAAAAAAAAAAAAGTAGTTTCAAAATTTTTTTCATTTCAGGAAAATTTTATTGAATTATAGTTTTTAGGATATGTTCTGTTTCCATGCTTTCATTTTCTTCTTCAGAGCTTCCTTTATGTGTATGTTCTAACTTCTTTGCTTATTTTAAATATTTGTCATTTTCCCTGTAATCTTTTTTCTCTTTATTTCATTTTGATTTTTAAATTTTTCTTCCCTTTCATCCTTCCTATTTGTTGTTAAGGCTTTATTGTGCTTCATTGTTAGTGTGTACCTTTCAACCCAGTCTTTTTTCTGGTATGATTTTTTATTTTATTTCTAGTTCTTTCCTGAGTATTGTCACTTTGTTTCTGAAATTTCCAGTTTTGATTTGTGTTGTTCTTTCATGTCTTGAATGATGTGCTTAAAAAATTCTAGCTTGCTTTAACATAGTAGGTCACTGTTTTGATCTCTTTTGTAGCCATGTCTTTCCAGTATGCTTCCATTATCAGTAGGGATGTTGATGTTATGTGCTCCTTAATTCCTTTTTTTGCTTTTAATTAACTTTGTATGAGATTAACCAAGACACTTTTTTGTTGCTTATTTTATGTAAAATTAATTTTCCTAAACTTTTAGAATGAGGCAGGCTTTAGTAAAGATTTTTTAACATCACAGAGCTTACTCTCCTATTGTTTTGGTGTAGTGGTAAACAATATGGCAGCTTGCTTTCAATTCCTCTCCCCCTCTCTGATTTGGGTATTTCAATTCCTTCTTCTCTCTTGTCCTTAACCTGCTTACTTTCGATTCTACTTCCAGCAATTTCTTCTTAGAAGGGAGCATAGCATCCTCAAACTTCCTCAGGCCTCTGGAGTGACAAATCTTTCCCATTTTCAGTTTCTGTTTTCAAATTGGCTCACCATTCTTTCCAGTGAATAGCTGTTGGTTATCTGAGTTCCTTTGTTCCCAGGTACGTCAGATAGCTTCCTCTACTACCGTTGCCTCCTTCTTTCTTCCACTCAGATACTGATACCATCCAGGCCTTGTAGTTGTGCAGTATATTCATAACTGTTTGCATTTTACAGTTTAAGTGATATCCTATCACCCAGTGTTTGGTTTTGTTACTTACTAGCTCTATTATTATTTGCCAATTTGGAGAGAGCAAAAAACTATGCTTTTGCTACCATCTCCCCAGAATCTCTAGTTATTTCTTACTGAGACTCTCCATTGGTTCACTCATTGTACTTATATATGTTCCTTTAACTCTGTGAACATATCTATAATAGCTGCTTTAAAGTCCTTGTCTACTAACTGAAATCTTAGGGTTATTCAGGATCTGCTTTTATTGACTATTTTTCTTGATTATGGGTCATTTTCTGATTCTTTTCCTGATTCTTCTCATGTCTAGTGATTTTTTTTTTTAACTGAAAACTGGATTACTTTTGTAATCAGAAAATAAAAACTCCAAATTATTTTATTTATTTATTTTTAAAGATTTTATTTTTAAGTAATCTCTACACCTAACATGGGGCCTGAACCCCAAGCTCA